GATTCATGCAGAACATGCAGGGGTGAGTGAAATAGCTTGGGACTGCTTGGGACCGTTGTTCTGGTACTGAGTGAGCCAAAAATAATAATGATTGTCTTCGGGACCCAGTGGTCTTAGAGTTACCTCTATGCTACCGCCATCTGTTCAGCGTACTACCCATCACAGTATACTCAACAGATGGCGGTAGTGTTTTAGCAACGATGTTTTAAATTGAAAAGTATTTAATGTGTTATGTCTGTTTGTCTGTGGTATCTCATTGTTTCATAATTACGAAAAATAGCATTTTAGCTGTAATGAGCAATTGCAAGCCTGCTTAAAAATCCTTAAAACAGCTTTGAATAATAAATTATTTATTTTAAAACATAATATACATACAATAACACTTATCCAACTAACTCAGAATATGCAAATAATTCCCATCATTTGGTAATGTTTTCAAAGAACTGTTTCAATCGTTTTACATTACTTTTGCTCGGGCTAGTAGCAGTATCTCGATTTCTAATATTACGGTAACCGGCAGGTGGTGCCGATTTTTCGTTGGCTTTTGATAAATTACCATTGTTGTTATAACACTTGGGCACCATTCCGATTACTCTAGGCTTCGATGACATCCTGGGTACCGATATTGCTGTTTGGCAGTAGCCATGTTCGAAAATGTTCCTTAGCTGAAACATTTTAATCTTGTAGTCAAAGTCGGACCTCGAGTACGTCCTCTGGATACTGTGATTATTTTCGATTTGACACATCTTCCTTCGATTCGATTTTGATATTTCTACCCAAGCGTACTGTTGAGAAACCAATTTACAAGTAACTGGGGATATCCAACAGGAAGAGAGCTTTAAATGCCTTGCTTTGGTAGAAATGAGTGAGACCACAGGATAGGTACGTTTTGATGGACGGGTTTGCACGTAAGAACGTTAAAAGGTTGATGAATTATGATGTTCATGATATATAAATCCGTACCTGTTCAGATCCGTGCGAGAAATGTCTGCCTGGTCCTGAGCATTAACATCTTTAGTACACTGAACTAAAACTACAAATGTACATCATAAGGCAGTCTAATAAATTCCAATGAAAATTGCGACAATGCGTCAATATTTGAATACTACAGTAAAGACTGCACATTGTAATCGAAATACGTCAAATCTGTCATGGATACAAAATACTAGGTGAAATTGAATGGAAAATAATCGCTTTTTCTATTATGCTCTTTAGAAATTCTGCTTAGAATTGTTCTGTATTTAAAAATCTTCTAAGAATTTAATTGAAATTTTACCCTGAAAAACCGTTTCTCTTGGTTTTCTTCTCAAAATTCCCTTGGAACTCTCCGAGGGGGACGACTCTATCTACGATGCAGAAAAGATTGTGTTTTGCTGTAGCTAGCTGCACGCACGCTGAGTAGATAGAAGAAAGATTTATGTCGATTTTGAAGATTTCCTGCAAAAAGATGAAGCGCGATGCAAGTAGATGCGAGAAATGAAAGATGATTTTTCGACGATTGATTCGCTAGTGTGAGATTTTTTGAGCATCTAGAATTGAGATTTAGATGTGTCGCCCCCCTCGGAACTCTCTTCAGAATTCACTTGAAATTATTTTTAGAATTGCATTGGAATTTGCCCTAGAATAAATTTGGAGCTATCCTAAGAATTCAACACCCTGATTTTTTTTTTAAATGTGATTAGATCTCTCCCCTAATCCTTCTCAGAACTTTTTTGGAATATTCAATAGCAATGGACCAGGAATCGTTTGAGAGTTGGAGTTCTAGTCAAAGTGCTCTTAGAGTTCTTTCCACAATTCTCTAGGAATTGATCTCTGAAATACTTTGATATTATCCCTAGAAATTATTAAAATCTCATAAAAACTCATTTGGAATCATCATCAAATTTCTCTTAATAGTTTCTCAGAGATGACAAAAACGGTAAGGCAGAAAACTTACTTGTTAATATTTTGTTGTTAAATTTAAAATACAATTTGGAGAGCCGAATACTTAGTATAGCATTTTATTTAATTGAAGTTGACATGTACACTGAAACCTGTGTGCATATCTCCAAATCAAAAGAAATTTTTTTTAATTAAATTATAATCATAACTTTGTGTCGTTTGTGTCATAAATGGGTAAAATTTTACTCATTTAATAAGTAGTCCCAGTTTCCCTCGAAAATGCTTACTTTGTAGCCATTATTGGGTATTTTGCGGTTACCGTGTAGGTATAGGAAAAACGTCACGATATGAGGGGGGGGGGGGGAGGGTAAATTTCTCGTCGATTTAGTGTGACATAATTAATGCATGGGCCCATGATAAAATCTATAAGCAAAAGTCAGACTGTGCGTGACACATGGTGGACTTCGTACTATCCTTTCACTCCACCGAAAAATCCCATAAGAGACTGTCAATCTTTTCTAGAAAGGACATTTTTTTGACGGTGCCGTCAATGCCAATTCTTGTCGGTCAAGTTGGACACCGGAAAACCCCAAACACGGCATTCGTGTTTTTCTCCCGTTCTGTACATTAAACATATCGTCAGACGTAAAACAACGTTAAACACTATGTCCGACACTATGTTTAACGGACATAACAAGAGTAAAATTGGCGTTGACGGCACCGCCGAAAAATCGTCTCTTCAAGAAAAGATTGACAGTTTCTTATGGGAATTTTCCGTGGAGTGAAACGATAGTACGAAGTCTGCCATGTTTCACGGACAGTCTGACGTTAGCTTATGGATTTTAACATTGTAGTAAACAATCCTCTGGCACGGCCGTTGGTTCTTGAAGCTGCCGTCAGTGATAAAGCCTGGTACGCAGCTGAAAAGAAAACGGAAAAGTAATTTTTGAGGATTTTTCCCAAAAGAAAATTTGACAGCTATAGTCTGCTAAATTTTGAGATTATAGGGAGATGTCGTCAAATTGTAAAATCAACACTTATTAGTGTTTATGTTGTTTAAATGCATCCAAAACATCAGTTTTGCAATAAACGCCAACATTACCTAACGGAATAATTGATCAGACCATTATTCCGCAAGGAAAGTGAAATTGCATTCAGAATGCGCCACCTTCATGTCGATCACGATACTAATGTAATCGATGTTTCCTTTACCGATTTCTTTTGAACTGCGTACTGGGTCAAGAAATGCTGAGGAAAAATAATTTCTTTTGCATTCCGTGTCCTATCCGGTAGCACATAAAAACGTCATTACTTTTCAGCTGCGTACCAGGCTTAACGGCGGCGTTGATGTTGGAATGATTTTAAGCTTCGGTCATACGTTACCATCATCATGGCATAGCGATGAGTTTCACCCATCCGAGTATGACCAACCGATAGGACCAACCGGTGAACACTCGTGTTTATTTCAGTTACCGTGTGGACGTAATTTGTGATGAGCCCCGGTCCCTTTCAAATTGTATCATTATTTATGTACGTTTCATATATTTGAAATGACGTTTCACATTAATCTAGTGATGGCCGATTTTCATTCGAATTATCGATTAATCGATTAACGAACCGAGAAGTAAAATATTTGTAATCGGTTATATCATGCCGATATAAGCATTAACTTCTCCAGAGGATCATCACCGATCGTTTCAAACATGTGCTACACTCTCATTGATGGAAATATGGCAGCACAGCGAACAAAAAAAAATCGATTAGTTGTTAATCGAGTAATTAAAAAATCGGACACCTCTGATTTTGGTGTGTTTGTTTTGATAAAAACGAGCGCGAAATTTCATCTCTGTCGAGGGGGCAGCAAAACCACAAAATTACCTTGAATACGGGGGGTATTCATTGGAGGAAAGGGACCGTGAAAGAGGACACTAAAATAGAAAGTTTTTCTTCCGACAGTTTCATCTTAGTATTCATCTTTGATAGGACGGTCATTTTTTCTTGCAGCCACCGTGAACTCACTTTCATGCAGTTCTTTCTTTTAATTTCATAGAGCGATAGAAACAAAACTGAGAAACACCGAGAGAATAATTGAAAAAAAAACTATTCACTTGAGAAATGTTCATCAATACCACAACGTTACCATGGCCGTAAAAACAAACGCATAAACGGAACTGAAACACGTAATTTTTACATCAGCTGTCAATAACTGACGCACAGACAAACAGACATAACACATTGAATACTTTTCAATTTAAAACATCGTTGCTAAAACACTACCGCCATCTGTTGAGTATACTGTGATGGGTAGTACGCTGAACAAATGGCGGTAGTGTGTAAACGTCAAACGCAAGGGTTATTGACTATGCGCGCTACAGGTGGCGGTATTACCAACTAAAAACATTTAAATTGACCGTTAAATGCGTGTTCGATGAACAAATTGCCAGTGTTATGTCTGTTTGTCTGTGACTGACGTATAATCGAACCAAAGAGCCAACAAAATCGGCTTCAAGCAAAGTGTTTTTGGATGACTTTTTTGCCAGCGGAGGGAGTGGAGTAAAGAGCTACAGAGTCGCCGTCAACGTCAATCGCTTGCCGCTTGTGGGGTTTTCAACTGTACCGATAATACTCATTTGCAACGTAAAGCAACATGTGTCATAGCAATCACATATTACATTGTTTCATCGTTTGGTCAACTAGAACCAAAGTTAGAGCAATTTTTGCACAAACTCATATTTTGGTTATGGTTATGGTTATGAATCATTGCAAATACTGTTTTTCAACATGAATACATTTGTACTAGACCGTGAAATGTCAATTTTATGGTGAATTGTACCATTAATTTAGAGAATCTCAACAATGCCAATTATATTGAATTTATAACAAAAGAAGTTTGAATTTTGAGATTAACATCACAACCAATACTTACATGGACAGCATTATATTTTGTCTAGTATGAGTCTTAATCTAAGACAGTGAGTGCTAATCACAAAAATAAATTTTTAGAGATCCAGGTTTAGTCATATATTTATTTATTTCCAAATCAAAATCAGTTTTGCTTTATTACATGCAAAGTATAGTGAATATAATACGCACAAATTTATTATATAGCATACAGCCTTTCACGAGGAGTCAAGCTGTCAAATAAAAGAACGAATCAATTCTTAGCTTGTTGCTCAAAGAATTTGCATAAAAGCTTTACCTTTTTACGTTGCTTCAAGTTAGCTCTAATCTCGTCGTCATTTGGTGCGGATTCTTCTTTCTTGAGAACTGTTGCGTTGTTCTTAGGCGGACTTTGCTGCGGTGTCTTCAATTCAATTGTTGCTTGTTGCTTTATCGGTTGTTTTAAGAGCGAACGGGAATGTATTTTTGCAGTAGTGTTGGTACCGGTTTCAAACATTTGGACCAACCGTTGCACTTTACTATGCTGAGGATTCGACGGCAAGGTGGCACTTGTTATACTGACCAGTGGTTTACTAGGTTTTTGGTCTATGTTCTGTTTCAACTTCGGTTCCACAGCGAGAATCTTTGGCCGATGAAAGGGTTGTCCAATCGCAAAGGGTTTTACTTTGGCAAACGTTTCTTGAGCAATTGAGTGCCTGTTTGGTTGATCAATCGATGGCAGGCGATCTTCCACTACAGAGCGGCGATACACCAAGGTAAGCTGCAGCATTTTCATCTTGTAGTCCAGATCACGGTGTGAGAAGCTGGGTCGTCCTGTGATTTCGATGGAATCCAGCTTGTGGCGTTGATTATCCGCGTTTTGCGCGACCATTGTAAATTAAGTTGCCTGTAGAAAATGAAACGTGTTAAAACTATGATGCAGGATCCTACTTGGAAATAATATGCCTGATTGAAAGTAGAGTGTAGACTGTTTTGAAGCAGGCTCAAATTAATGTTGTTCGTACCTTACACTTTATAAGACACATAAATTATACCTGAACAGGAAGCATACGATTGTATTCATATGTTGTGGGTAAAAAATCGGAGCACATATATTTTAGGTAGAAAGTGATGCTATCAATTCTGGCTCATTTTAGGGGAGATAGGAGACAATTCAGGTTAAACAAGTCAAAGAATCGTTATTGAATTCAATAGATCCTGTCGAGTCCTCCCGTTTTTCCTCTATTCGGGACATGAAACCACTGCGACCAGTAATTTGATCTATTCCAGAGCAACATTTGAAAAGGGCATACAAGCTTTTTGTAAACAAACCTTTGTAGGCCCTTTTCTCACCAACCGAGGGTCACCCACGCAAACCAGCAATATCATCGGGAAGGGGAAAGTGTCCCCTACCCGGTGATGTTAAAGGTTTGCGTTGGTGTCATATGGGTGGCGAGAAAAGGGCATAAGAAGGATTGTTTACAAAAAGCTTGTATGCCCTTTTCACATGTTGTTCTGGTATTGTAGTATTGTAACGAGTACCATATTTCTGAATTCAATTTTCATCAATATTTGTTAGGAACATGAATTTAAAATAAATCTCATAAATAATCACCGCAGTCGTTGAGTGAATTCTATTAGTAGGTAATGAATTCGAGAGTGAAGTAGATATCCACCACTTGGCAAATTGTAAATGAGTTCTAGTTCAGTAGTGAGAGCCGGGGTGGTATTCATGTCCAATTACTGCAAGCAGGCGGAAGGTTGCTCGATCGTCGTTTAGCGCGTACGTACATCGACCCGGTACAGATCCTTTGATGATTTGTTAACCTTTCTCGAATTTCTCTCCTATCCCTGAATTTTGAGCCGAGCAGCGAATTGGATGATTGGAGTTGTTTGTTAGAGAAACATTCCTGTAGCGGGGGATGCAATTGATGAGAGCACGAGAACAATTTTCGTTGTATCACGAATATCTAACTTCGTTAGATTGACGTGATTTCCGGTGCCGAAGATTACGATAATGCGTTTAATCTGAGGATCCCTAAAAATTTATCGATCACTTTGGACTGATCAGTGGAAGAGGCAGGAGTGGTCCGAGATGTTTTTAAGACAGGTGGGCAGGAATTCACGGTCTCCCAGTGTTGGTGAGTTCTTTGCCGTTAATGTTCACGAAAAGTTCACTATTTTGCCATACAGAAATTCAATACAAAAATTTTTATCTGCGGATTTGGACAGTTTTTGACCTGTTTCATACGACCGGAAGTTTTATGCTGGTCACAAATGCCGTGCCAAACTGATTTCCTACGCAATTAATCATGCTTTGATGTGAATTTCGCTAATACACACGAGGAGCATTTCTTATAGCAAAACTTGCCATAACAAAATGGGCGGTTCAATCCGCAGATAAAAAATTTTGTATTGAATTTCTGTATGGCAAAATAGTGAACTTTTCGTGGACATTAACGGCAAAGAACTCACCAACACTGGGAGACCGTGAGTTCCTGCCCACCTGTCTTAAAAACATCTCGGAACCGTAGCACTTTTCCGGTCTTGCGAGGCGTACACTTTCTAAACGTTTGCACGTGAACCCAAATGAGAGCCGTTTGAACACGCACAGGAGGATGAAACATATCAGAACATAACCCAACACACACACGCTCAACAGACAGGTAGATAAAGAGCACTCTAAGAATATTCCATCTAAAAACCATTAAAAAAATCATATGGATTTCATCCATAATGGTTTTCACATGAGAGTTATTTGAAAATCACATAGATAGTGTTTATAAGTTTATCACATAACTTTTATATGAAATGAACATAAAAATTCAATTGAATCGCGATTCGAACCATATGACACATCATATGAACTCTATGCGATATTAAAATAGATTGTATTGGAAAATCTAATGACATGTAATGTATTATCAAGTACTTTTTATTGTCATTTTCTAATGAAAATATATGGGAATTATTTGGAATTAGTGGAAATAATGTATACAGAACGAGTCTAGTAGTTTATACAGTTCATACAGGTTGGAAAATAAATAGACTAACACCCTATTCCATTTTTTAAAATAATCGCATGTGAATCTGATTCGATTGAAAATAGCCTTATGTTCCAAATAAAATTGTATGAACAGTATGTGTACTAGATACATAAGAATTTGACATATAGACATATATTTCAAGTTTGTATAACGGTTTCGTAATATTAAGTACATCATATCCTTACTTATATCTAAGATCCTAATATTCCACATTGAAACTAGGCTTGTTACGAAAGTAGAAGCGATTATCGATATTGTGTACCATTATTGGTGGCAAACTGAATGCTTCTATGGATATAATATCAACTATAGGAAGACATTCAATGGCTTCATAAGCTAAGTAGTGATTACTGTATATACCTACTTTCCACGATTGAAGAACCAGATAAAACGTGTCTTCGTATCTAACTATATCTAATATTTCAAATAGATATTGATGCATGTTGGTGAGTAGTGACATGAAGTTTCCAATTTTATAGTTTGTTCCTTTGAATACAATACTATTTGAACACATTATTTCAAACCCAGAACTAATACATAATGGTTGAATGATCATTTTGTAATAATTACGCAATCGGATGTCAAATAAATTAAAATTTCCTTCAACAGAAACTTTTAAGAAATTGTTATTTACAAGATCATAAGTGAATTGTAATGATGCTTTTATGCACAAAGTGTAGCAAATGTTTTTGCGAGATGGCATTATGTGCGAATATTGCTTGAATCCTTTGTGTTTGGCTTCGTTTCTAAAGCACATCATTTTTTCTACAGGTCCAGATGTACGAATTACTCCAGGATAGTGGACTAAAAAATGGTGCTTAGGTTTTAAATCTCTTTTAAAAAATTTCAAATATAAGTTATGATGATTGCAAATTACTTCTCTCAACATGTCAAGCTCCGTGTCAGTAAATGAGCGTTTCAAACACATGTCTACTAATTGTACTAATGCTTTGCAGTAATTCCAAACCTCATCATCCTGGGGAACAAATCTTCCAACTATTAATGTAAAATAATGGCAAAATATGCGCATTTCATTGGAAGTGAGACGCATAGACACGGATTTGCGTTTTTCTTTACTATTGTAAGTTTCTGATAATTCTGGCATTCGTTTAAGCTCATCATCCAAACTAAGCTTCCCAATATTTTTCCGGGTAATATTGAAGTCATTAATAGTTAAATATTTTTTACGATAAATGCAGTAATCAAGTATTTCAGTAAAGCCGTATTTACACACACCCGTACTAAATAAATCATGCATTGGATCTACGCTTTTGTTTTCCACTACGTGAAATGATGGTAAATTATTAAAAACTGAGTATCCTGCTATGCCTGTCTCGCTATGCATATCAATATCTAAGTCTTCTGTATAATCGGCTCTGCGTCGTATACAATCAGCGTGTTCTTTAGTATCATTTTTCAATAGTTCCTTAGGCCGTCGACAGAACCGACAGTAGAAGTTTGCGTTAAAACCACTTGACATAAGCAAAGTTGTATGTATGCCCAAATTATCTCCTTGTAGAAGACATAGTATAAATCTGACTTTGATCGTTTCGTTATTAAGCTTCAATTCTACTGCGTTTTGTTCCAATTGAGAGAATTCCTCTATCAATGCGTTCATTAGGTTGTTAATTCCACTATCTTTTACATCGACTTTCTTCAACATGCCTGCTACAAATATATGACTTAGTTTTGCTTGAAATTCTTCTGGAATAGTCGGAAAATTGTAATAAATTCCGTATACAGCATGCCTGTTACTATGGGAGCTTTGACTATCGTTAATTTCATATTCATCTGTATACAACCAGATAGGTAGCACTGTGTCGTTAATGTACTTTTGCTTGATTTCGTGCCATTTAGTTCCATTGACGAAGTTTACAATTTTTGCAGCCTTTTCTAGTTTTGCGGTGTGTGAAATGATTGCTTGCAGTACATTATGCGATTCTAAAAACGACTTTATTTGGAATTCTATAGGCATTAGAATAAGGAAGTTTTTGTCCTGTCCTATTTCAACGTCTGCTTCAAATTGTATGAGCTTAGACTTTATCTTATTTTTCTCTACCGTTACTATTGTTGGTAATTGAAAGTTTCCAGTTTTACGCAAGTAATTAAACAATTTAAAATCTGAGCTTATAAATCTAAACACGTTTTTCATCTTTTCAAGGTAGTTTTTAAAATTGAATTCATCCTCTACATCTTCTAACGCCATATTCAAATCACCCAACAAATGTGCTAGCTCCGAAAATATAATACCTGCTTCGTTTTGAATATCGTATACATCTTTTCTAGTAATATTATTCTTATTATGCAAACTTAATGTAAACATTACAGCTGCCTGGTCTACCTTGTCATGTTTCTCAGTATTATCCCGTTCTAGATCGTAGCTGGTGGTAGCTTCCTCAAACTTTTGCCTTTTAGCACTGGAATGTGGAGATTCTTCACATGTAGCTTCCACGTGTTCGTCTATGACATTGGTATCATCGTTGATATTGGTTGTATCATACTGTATATTCGCAGCTCGATGTTCGGAATGGCCTATGATGTGCTTTCTAAACGGATGATATTTGGTAAAAATTTGACGGCAATCCAACTTCATGCATTCATAACGATAGATAGTTGGTACCCGGTGGAACTCTTTAAGGTGATCCAGATACGATTCTGCTGTCTCGAAAACATCGTTACACTCTTTTAACATACAGTTGAACATGATTTACAGTTGATCCTTAGCTGCTTTCAAAAAACCATTCAGCCGATTGATACTCGCGTAAGATTCCGGATGTTTGATACCGTAGGCAGAGCTTGCTAAGAAATGCCAAACAAGTTTGGACACTTTGGAGTATGGTACTCC